ACTTGAAGGATGGTGAATGCAGGGATTGTATTGAGTGATGAAGTCAGCTCTAAACAAGATGGGGAGCTGGAGAGGAGATAGAGTGGGAAGATGATCTTCCCCTAGTTCAGCCATCCCGTGCCTGATGTTCTCTCCTACCGTCCCCAGAAGAACCCTTTTGATGTTCAGACACTTCCTCTCTTCTTTTCTTCTCTTTCACACTGCTCTGCCAGTGGAGCTTGGGTTTATATGGGCACAGTATAGGGGCATGGCAGGCCAGAGTGGTCTTGGAAAAGGCAATATTTGGGCATGCAAACAGGAATGCCTGTTCTCATTTAGAGCTTCAAGTTTCCAGGCTTGAGGGTGGGGCCTTTGCTGGGGAACTCCCTTTTCTACCCAGTATTTCCCTGCCTGCTGTCCATGTCAAAATGAGATATATGTAAGTGAAACTGCCACATAAATGAAAATAACAAGTATCTCTGTCATCACAACCACCACCACTAGAAAAGGGAACTAAGTTTCAAGCATAGACTCTTGAACCTGTTTAGGGATACCATTAAAAATTTAGAGTAGCGGACAGAGAACTCCCACATCTCAGGAGCCGACTATAACCTCCAGGTCCAAGTCAACAGTGCTGTCTTTCTACTTCCTTGCTGTGTTCTTTCTCAGATGCCAGAAGTAGGGCATGTTAGTCCACTATAGATACTCCCCTGAGATACACTCACTCTTGTCTTTTCCAGCTGTCATCTGTGACTACCCATGATACCACATCTTCAGGGAAGATTTGAAAAGATATGTGGGTAGATCAATAGAAAGTAAAAATATGTTATGTACTCTGCTTGATGTGAAATGTCCCTAAATGTAGACATTACTTTAGAAGGGAAGGAAGGAGTTTAAAATAGAGACCAAAGTATACAGAAAAATTATAGTATAGTTAACCTAAGTTTACTGAATGTTTCTTATCTGCAAGGCACTGGGATAATCGTTTAGGAGATACCATGGGGAATGATGCTTCCATCTTTGCCTTTCACGTATTATAGTCTAAATAAGGGAAGTGAGAGGTATATATAAATAAGGAGGACATATACAATAATATTTGGAAACATAAAAGAGGGTATACAGGATAGGAAAGAACTTTCCTGGTGGAAAAATCTTAGGACTTTAAATAAGGGAAACATCTCAGCTGTGCCTTAGGTAAAGTATTGATAGGTAGGATAACAAGCGTACATTCTAGATGGAGGGACTAGGCTGAGAAAACTTTTAGTGTTAGGAAAGGAAAGACGTGGTAAACAAATGGTGATTAGCCTATAGCTAAAATATAGAGTAGAGATGGAACAAAAGAAAAGGGAAACAAATGTGTGTTGGTGCTTTTAACTAAAGTCCTCTCCTCACGTATTTAAATCCATCCTTTCATTAGTTAATCATCTACTATAACCACTTTACAAATGAAATGAGAGCACAAGAAGATTAAGTAACCTACTTGAAAATGAGAAACTAACAGGTAAGGCTTAGGACTTGAAACATTTTTTCTTTTGTTAAATTAAGCATATTCTTTTTACAATGGGATCACAACAATAATAACAATAAATAATTGTGGTTTATTGAATGCTCACCCTAGGCCACAGAATTTTAATTTTTCTTAAATTTTCTTTTCTATTAAGGGCAGTGAACTAGATGGAGGGTAGAGGGTAGGGCAAGGAGAGGAGATATTGTCTAGGATCTTCTATCAGGTGGGTATCTTAGTCACGCTTCAAAATTACCTAAAATGTAGAGGTTATTATCCAAATCTCTAAATGAAGAAATGGTGGCTTAGAAAATATATTTGGTGCATAAAAATAATGAAAATTAATGCTGAGAAGAAATGAAGTTAGAAATAAAGTGGAGTTGACTACCAAGCTGAGAGAACCTTATTTTGTTGAAAAACTAGTAATCATTAAAGTAATAGTTCAAGAAAATGTGTGATCAGAATTGCACTTGAAGATTCATCTGTTAGCTCCATCCAGGACTGTTAATGAAGAGATGAGAGATTCTTAGTCAGATTTTTTAAATTTATGGTTAAAACTGCTTTGAATCATATTCACCCAAGATTTAGGTTTTTAAAAATTAGTTTTAACATTAGTATATCTAATTAAAATATATAAGATAATCATATTATCTTTTATCTCATATATTTAGGCAATGAGCTGCTCTGATAAACAAAATATTTGTACCAAAATAATATAATATACACAAAGTAATACTTTTTAAAGAAAATATAACACCATAAAATGCACAAAAGCATATTTTGATTTTCTTGAACTCCCGACCTCAGGTGATCCACCTGCCTTGGCCTCCAAAGCGCTTGGATTACAGGCATGAGCTATCACTCCTGGCAGCATATTTTGATTTTCTACAGGTGGCTAGTCTAATAATCAATGGTCTACTTTTCAAACTGCTAATTAAATTATACATATTATTTCGAGAGACTTTGAACAGGTCTACTTACTAATTCAGTTTTATCTATAAAATACGTTTGCAAACTGACTTTACATTTTATTATAAAACCAACCTCTTATTAGGGAAAACATATGGAATCATTGAAATCCTAAAGCTGAAGGAAAGATTTAGACCGACCTTGTAAGTTCACAAGGGAGACAGAGGTCACAGGGCAATACAGTGAGGAAGTTCAGGCCTGTGATCCTCAATGACTCCCTGCTGTATGCGTCACTATTCAGCCCCTACCCCATCAAACCAAAGTATGTTGTATTAAAGAATATGAACTATGTGGGTTGGGCACGGTGGCTCATGCCTGTAATCCCAGCATTCTGGGAGGCTAAGGTGGGCAGATCACAAGGTCAAGAGTTCCAAACTAGCCTGGCCAATATCATGAAACCCTGTCTCTACTAAAAATACAAAAATTAGCTGGGTATGGTTGTGGGCACCTATAATCCCAGCTACTTAGGAGGCTGAGGCAGGAAGAATTGCTTAAACCCAGGAGCAGAGTTTGCAGTGACCCAAGATTGCATCATTGCACTCCAGCCTAGGCAGTAGAGTGAGGCTCAGTCTCATAAAAAGAAAAAGAAAGAAAAGGGATATGCACTATGTGATCTGATGTGATGTGCTCTTCATAGGTTGGAACTTTGTTATGTTTTCCTGTGTGTAATATAGTACAGATGCATTACTTAAAATGAAATGGAAGTTTTCTCCAAATTAATTAAACAATCAGTTTACCTCCTATAGAAGTAAAATGACAGTATGTTTAGTGTATTTTTTAAATGTTATTATGATTAAACTTTTAAGTTCTGAGATACATGTGCAGAACATACAACTTTGTTACATAGGCATACACGTGCCATGGTGGTTTGCTGCACCCATCAACCCGTCATCTACATTAGGTATTTCTCCTAATGCTAGCCCCTCCCTACCCCCCCACCCCCTGAGCTGGTTCTGGTGTGTGATGTTCCCCTCCCTGTGCCTGTGTGTTCTCATTGTTCAACTCTCACTTATGAGTGAGAACATGTAGTGTTTAGTTTTCTGTTCTTGTGTTAATTTGCTGAGAATGATGTTTTCCAGCTTCATCTATATCCCTGCAAAGGACATGAACCCATCCTTTATATGGCTGCATAGTGTTCCATGGTATATATGTGCCATATTTTCTTTATCCAGTCTGTCATTAGTGTGTTTAATGAGATCTTTAAATATCTGCTTCTAGAAAGTTTATCTGGTGTTGTAGAATTTTTATTGCTTTCAGTATTTATCTGTATGTTGTACATCTTAAATTAAAAGTATGTTTAGACTGTTGATAAAACACTAATAACACTTTGCTGCAGATTCATTTGAACATCAAATTGTGGTCAAAGACAAGTCAGAAGAATTTCCAAAGAGTAGATTTCAGAGACCTGTACGTGAACCCTTACACACTGACTCATAGAAAGAACTTCATTCAGATTCCTATTATTTTCATTTTACAGATAAGTCCAAAAGATCAATGTTTTTCTACTTCAATACATTGTGGAATGGAAGAAATATCAATAATACTAATTTCATAAATAATAATCCTATCCTACTATAATATATCAAATAATGAGTACCTCAGTGCATATCATGGCTTGATCACTATCTTAGCTGTATCTCTAATTCTGACATCAACTTTACAGCCGATTTTATCCTGATTTGAGATGAGGAAATGAAAATTAAAGTGATTTGCCTTGCCTGGATTCAGTCACAAAGTATAGAATGAAGAAAACGAGCCTATCAGACACAAGACCAGTAGATCTGTAAACACAACAAGATATGTACTGGAAAATAATAAGCCAACAGAGGCAACAAACTAATGCTCACTGACAGTCTTAATGTTCTTTAATTAAATAAATAAAATAATGAAAAAGCAAGTGAAAAAAGAATGGTAAAAGAATTGATAAGCAAATGATCACAGAGCAGGGTTGAAAAGTCTCAATAATGCATTCTCTTATTGCCACATGACTATTCAGGGTGGTTAATATTTATCTGCTCTTATTATTATTATTCATAATGATAGCTGACATTTATTGACCTGGGTCAGGGAAAGCTTCCTGAATTAAAGGAAATGATAGCAGTGATGTGAGCAGTTAATTAGTCATGGAGGTCAGGAAGGGGACAGTGGTGGGTGGAGTATCCTACATGTGGAGAACATCTCGTGCAAAGGCTCAGATTTAAGAGACTGCTATGGTTGCTTTCCAACCTGAGGCTGCAGAAAGATGGTCAAAGAAGGTCAAGAATAAGGGCCATTTTGCCATCAACAAGAAGGTGACCAGCTAATACGCCATCAGTGCTTAAAGCTGCATCCATGGAGTGGGATCCAAGAAGTGGGTCTTATGGGCACTCAAAGAGATGTAGAAATTTGCCATGACGGAGATGAGCTCCAGATGTGTACATTGATACCAGGCTCAACAAAGCTATGTGGTGTAAAGGCATAAGAAATCTTCTATCTTGTACTCCTGTGTAGCTGTCCTGAAAACGTAATGAGATGAAGATTCACCAAACAGGCTCTCTACCTATTTTACCTGTCACCACTTTCAAAAACCTATAGTCAATTTCAATGAGAACTAACTGCTCAGTGTCAAATAAAGTTATTAAACTGTCAATAAAGAAATAAGAGAGGCTGTTATGAGTTAAAATGTGTACTCCTAAATTCATATGTTGAAGTTCTAACCCCCAATATTTCAGATGCAACCTTATTTCAATATAGGATCATTGAAGATAAAATTAGTTAAGATGAGGTCATACTACAGAAATATGGGCTCTTAATCCAATATGACTGTTGTCCTGATAATAAAAAAAGGGGAGCTTTGAACACTGGCTCACACAGGAGGAATGCCATGTGGACCTGAAGGTAGGTGTTGCTTCTGCAAGCTAAGTAAAACCAAAATTGCCAGCAAATCACCAGAAGCTAGGGAGGAGAGGCATGGAACATATTCTTCATTACAGCCCTCAGAAGAAATTAACCCTTCCTGATGCCTTGATCTTGGATTTCCTGTGTCTATTGTGAGACAGTATATTTCTGTTGTTTATGCTTCTCAGTTTGTTTTACTTTGTTATAGCACTACTGGCAAATGAATGCAGAGATTAGGGCATTCAAAGACATGTAGCTTAGCTCCTGGTTCTCAGTCATCAATTAAGGGTAAACTCCTCTACCAACTAGTAAGGTGGCAGAGAGATGCTCGAGATATTTTAGAACTGTCCCATTCATAATAATCAATATTTTAAAGAACACATTTGGGACAAAATTTATGCATCATGATCTGTTAAATGCACTTAATAACAAACACTTGATTTATCTGTGTTATATGCTCAGTCAATAAATAAGCATGTATTTAGCATGCATGATGTGACATCTTCTGTAGGATAGTGATCAGAAGCTTGGGTTCTGTGAAAAGTTTTAAGAACAGGGACCCCACATTTTAGGATATATGTTTTGGTAAATATTCACCTTCATGGGATATTGATATCTTCATCAACTTTCCCAATGAAAGGAGATTAAATAAGAGTATAGTTATAATATATTTAGTGGAGCATGTGTTTTATCACATATATATTCTAAAATAGCCGTGTTCTTATTACTGTTACCATTTTGTTATGTTGCTTAGGGTAGGAAGATATTCATTTTATCCTTCTTGCCTCCCTTTAGACTCTTGGTCTCTCCCTGCTTGTAAAATGTGTTGGCAGTTTCTGGCTCTGTTCCCTGTCTCCTCATTTCGGCTTTTGATGGGGCATGATGATCAGATGGCCGTGATTAGTTATTTGGCTTGCATTGCAGATTATCTATTAAGTAGCCATCCCCTCAGCCACTGAGGCATATGGTCAGCACTTCTAGGGCTTAAAATAAATCTTCATTTTAACATGTGGAATTTTATTATGCAAAAGAGAGCTCATATGGGGTCTAATCTTGTTATTTGTTATGCTGTACACATATACTTGCTGCCTTCTGGATGGAATAGTACATTAGGCACCTCTGGGCCTTTCGTTTTATTGGTATTTCGTAGATATTCTGGGTGAGGACATTTAGTAAGTAGCATCAACCCTTAACTATGGAAAGAAAAGAAGAATGAGGAGCAATTTTTCTTTCTGCATTTTGCAGACCAATCATACAGTTTTTTAATCAATCAAACATTTATTTAGCACTTACTGTGAACCCGCTGTTTCCTCATGTGCTTGGGTAATGATGATCAACATGGCACAACCCTTTTATCTAAAATTATCAAAAACTTTAGATACCTTTAGATAAAAGATAAACATTTTTATTAACGTGCTTGTTAGCAAAGATCATCCCTTAGTGCTGATTAGAAAAAAAGATGCCCCTTCTCCTGGGTGAATGCATCTGTGTCCTAGGCACCTGCCATCGTAAGTGGAAGTGTGGAATACACTTTAGATTGCATCCTCCTAACTAAGTGTCCTTGAACTAGGTACACGACTTAGGCAGTTAAGTGACAATTGCAAAAGTAAGTGGCCAGCAAGTGACAACCAAGGAACTAATTATATGATACTCTGAAGGCTGTGTGGTTTGGGGAAGTGTGTATACTAGAGAAATTTATTAAATTTCATTCTGTATACTGAACTATAAATGGACTGCTTCTTGTGTGAATGAGCAGAAAATATTAGTTTATTCACATTTGATTGAGCAAATACTTCAGGTATTCACTATAAAGCTACCTATTCTTTGTTCTAAAATTTTTTCCAAACTCTATCCTAGGATATAAATAGGTTAATGGCAAATAAGAGATTTGTTTGTAGAAATTAACTCAAGAGGATTTTCTAGTATTAATAGAAACCTGAGTTTCCTAAATGAGGACTCCTTCAATCTATTCAGGTGTGACATGTCATCTAAGTTAATAACTGGAACAAAAAATAAAAATAACAGCATCAAGCATAAAAATTCAGTCTCTGGAGTCTGAGAGATTTGGATTTGGATTCTAATTCCAGTTCCTCTGCCTGCTTGTTTTGTTACCACAGGCAAGTCACTAATCCTTTACTGTGCTTATAATACTTCCTATGTTTTTTGAATATTATGAGGCTTAAACAAGATGATGCATGTAAAGTGCTATGCACGGCCCCTGACACCTAGTAAATATTTAATAAGTAGTAGCTGCTGTTAATGCTGCTGGACTCTTTAAAATTCATAAAGCTCTACAACATATAAACTAGCATTACACATATCAGGATAATGGATTTTTCATTTATCTGTATAGAAATGGATGGATACATGAATATGTGTGTATGTGTTTGTATACCCACTGTTATGTGCATGCACAATTGACAGCATATTCACTTCTACAATATTATAAGACTAATATTAGCTAACATGTTTAAGACTGTGCCAACTCCTGTCCTGTGCACTTCACATTAATTAATTCATCCTTATAATAATCCTGTGAAGTAGGATCTGTTGCACCAATTTTGCAGATAGGAAAACTGATGCCTGAAGATGAGGTTATGCTGCTAATAAACTGTGGAAATGGAATTTTAACCCAGGCAATGTGCCCCAGGTCTGTGTTTCTAACAAGAGTGGTAGTCTGAATTTCAATGATAAACACTTAACATCATCGTGTACAGACAGACACATTGCAATGCACAAATATAAATGCACATACACACGTTTCTGTGTATGTATTTGCCTGAAAATGCATAATGTAGAGTATCTCTCCCTCTCTGGTGCTCTTGAGGTCTGTAGCCACATTTACATTCTTCGGTTTGTGGTTCCCTTTCCCCAGCAGGCTGATTGAATTACATGACAGATCATATGCAAAATGAAACACTAAATGGAATCCTCTCTCTGTTGCCCAGCAATGGATGATTGCTCCACATTGCTTGAAGTTATGCTTAAGCACATCCTACAGCATTAGGATCCTTGTTTGCCTCCTCTCACCCCACTCATTACTTGAACAGTGGCTCTACATCCAATTACATATCATCGAGTGGCAGGAGATGACATTAATATGGATTAACTGTATTCCACAAGCTCTTTGGTGATCTTTTGGCCTTCAATGCTGAATACACCGGGGTAGCAGTTAAAACATGGACCCGGCTACATTTAATACACCGGGATAGCAGTTAAAACATGGACCAGGCAACATTTAACAGAAATCTGGCACTTCTAGCATGTGGCTCAACCAAATACAAATTTATTGTCCTTACAGATCAGCAAGCAAAGGGGTAGCCTTTCCAGCATGGCTTCAGCAGGTTTTCAAGCCCTCAGTCTCTCAGGCTCCTTACATCTTCCAGCCTAACATCTTTAGCTTGTATCTGCTTTCTTCTAGTATATTCTTTTGGTTCATTAAGTAGGTGTTCCACTTCCCACCTCACATCCCCATTTTAGACAGGAAAACCTGAGGTGTTTCTCCCTATACATTTTCATGGTACAAAATTTGTGGTGGAACAATAAGTCTGACACATTGTTGCCCCTAACAGAATCTGGGTTCTGCTACAAGTATAAATGTAAAATGAATAAGCCGCTGCAGAGTCCGCCACAATTGAAAACTTAAGCAGTAAGGATGATTTACTGCTAAGGCTGGTGTGGTAGTCAAGCCAGCATAAAGTATCCACTAAAAGCTAGATCAGTGAGAAGCACAACTTTTTTGCCTTAAGAAATTTACCATCCAGAAGATTAGATGGATGAGCAAATAAATAAATATAGAAATGTTAGAGGTATAGACCTGTTGGAACTTTGCAATGTCAGAGTTAGGGCTGAGACACACAAATTTTAGTTCCATTAATATAAAGAAGAATATGAAGGCCAGGTGCAGAGGCTCTTGCCTGGAATCCCAACACTTTGGGAGGCCGAGGTGGGCAGATCACCTGAGGTCAGGAATTTGAGACCAGCCTGACTAACATGGAGAATCCCTGTCTTTATTAAACATACAACAATTAGCTGAGCATGGTGGCATGTGCCTGTAGTCCCAGCTACTCGGGAGGCTGAGGCAGGAGAATCACCACCTGCATTACAGAGGCTCTGTCTCAAAAAAAAAAAAAAAAAGGAATATGAACAACTAGTGGCAATAATGACTTTGTATTGTATACTAACTACTTTTCTAGCAATTGTCCAAATTATGTATATACTTTATATGTATATCTATATTACATATCTATATATATACATAGATACATATATCTGTAGAACTATACATATAAAATGAAGTTCAATAACTTACCCAAAGTTAAATATTTAGTAAGTTAGAAAGTTAGGATTTGAATCCTGAAAGTCTATCATTAAAGCCTTCAATTTCCAACCTATATTGAGAATTCTAAGGACTTCTTGTTTTCGTTTGTTTTTTTGCTGTTATGTTTTGTTTTTGTAAAATAATTTAGTTTCTTTGGCTGTTGCCAATTATGTAAAACCCTTTTTAGTCATTCAGTGTTCATCATATTTCATAAATTGGCTGTACCTAGGGTGGGTAGACATCAGCTTGGTAGACCTAATTGCACAGAAGGTCACTGTGCTAGATATTTTCCATTAGGAAGTGGTAAATTAGTTAACAAAATTATTCCCATGTATCTAATACTTGTGAAATGGAGTATTAACAATGCCATTCCTTGGACAAAATATCCTCTTTATCCCTAATCTTTATTAGATGATAGTCATCA